TCGCTTTCAGTACGTTTCTGAGTGCCAGTGGGGGTTTAGTTTTGATTTCTTGCAAGGGAAACAGTGCAGGAACATCCTTGGGTTGACGTCTGCTGTTTGGTATCTCTTAATCTGCACGGGACTGGGTCTGGCTGGGGGTGAAGGTGGGTTTTCGGTGGGGAAGACGGTGGCTGTTCCGCACAAGCTGCGTGCCTCGCTGCTCTGCCCTAAACCGCGGCTTTTCCCAGTTGTCCTTCAGAGAGTGGCTGCTGTTGGAGCTGGAGGTGTGCCCTGAAAAGGATGTTCTCTCTGCTTCGGAAAGGTAAGTGCAGAGGGGCTCTGACAAGGGAATGGCTCAAGAGCCTTTCCCACCCACGTTAGGAAGAAGCGCTGAAGATCAGGAAGCAGACAAACAAGCTGCTGCAGGACAGAACTACCAGGGTTTGCCCGGAGTTCAGGCAGTGCTAGCTGGGGTGAGGTGTCTGTTGCAGCTGGAGGAAGCTCACCAAGATAACCTCTGTCCCGCATGTGCAGTCCTTGCAGAGCGCTCTTCGCAAAACCTCCCTGTTTCTGGACATCAGGACGCGCGGTGTCTGGTGGACGGCTCTTGTACCTGCACTTAGATGGGTGTTGTGTCTGTCGTTCCACTTGGCGCGTGACCTTCCTTTTACATCAAGGGAAGGGCACCATTAAAATGCTGCGACAGAGTGCGTCCTTTCCTCTCCTTTTCAACACCACAGGCAGGATTTCCATTATTGGGCCATCTATCAGCGGTATCTGCCCGCACCTTCCGCTTCGGGCGGCTGCGACGGGGACCTGGAGAAGGCGTGCGGCATTGTTGTCAGTGCCATCCTGGATTCCTCACAAAGGTGTGCTGTCTCGTGACTTGCATGTCTGCAGAAGTAGTGGTGCTGCTCACGACCTTGGGAGCCAGGAGCTGTGAGCTTGTGCCTCCTGTGGGGCTGCGGCAGGGGCGCCCTTATCCGGGCAGCTCTGCGCGACGCGCCCGTCTGCATAAGAATCTTGCTTTGGCTGGCAGTCACAGATAGTCCCTAGCCTGGCTGTCCTTTTTGAGTTGAATTTGTATTCAGATTCGATCGGCCAGACAAGCACAAGTGGCCCTGAGGAAGCGGCTGAAGCTGGAAAATAGAGGGGGAGGGTTAGAGGAGAGTTGCTGTGTCACCTGCAGCTTATTTAGGGAACGTTAATGTTAGAGCTTGGCGTTCCCCTGAAGCCGGTTGACTTGGAATTGTGTGACCCTCCTGGGCTAGCAGGGTAGTTACCTGGTGTGTCTCTTAATTTCAGGTTGGACCTGGGTAGCTGGGGTCAATCGAAGGTGTCGGTCAACGCCGATATTCTCTGCAAGCTGCAGGTGATTTCAGACCTTGATGCGTATTTGTATGTTCAGTCCTTGAATCTGACCAGCCGCTGTATCTCCTGCTACCTCGGGGTGCATCAGGCTGGCGTTGGGCGCGCTCCGATGTGAGCAGTGGCGTGGAAATGGAGAGAGAGAGAGATTTTTCTTATTGATCCCCGTGTATTACTTCAGAGAAACAGAGGGTTGGAACACGCACTGGGGCGTAGCCCTGACACACACTGTTTCCCCCCCACCTCCCTGTTCAGGAGATGGTGCTGGAGCTGGGGTGTAGGCGAAAGTTGCTGTCTGGCCGCTCGGATGCCCCGAGACATTTCCTCTTCGAGATTCTCCGGGAAAGACTGAAGGACCAAAACCGTGGCTCTGCTTTGGGGGAGCAGCTGGGGAGGCAGCAGGAGCTGCTGCTGCACCGAAGGTAAATGCAGGTCTGACCGCCTGGGGGGGAGCTGTGTGCCTGCACGGCGGGGCAGCCCCCCCTCTGTAAAAAAAAACAAGTGGCAAGGACACTATATGTCATGGTGGCAATTGTGCTAGAGCTACTCGTGCCCTGGTACCCCCGTGAATCAGCTGTGTGTGCCATCTTGGGCTACGAGTTGCCCCTTTCAAAGACCACACGTCCTCACGGACTCTGTTTCCAGCCAGCAACCCTCTCAATGCCACTTGTGTTAACTGTCCTCAAATTGCTCTGTTTGCTGCTGTGATCTAGGTGCGTGTTTCCATTTTTTTTTTTTTTTTGAGCCATTGATGGTATCTTGGGAGGTGCTGTTGAAATGCAGGTTCTTTCCTGGGCAACTGGAAAAATCCCTTGTGCAGTTTCTGTCGGCGCGTTCGAGATCTCTCACGTTTAATGTGCTCTCAAACTCCCCTCGGTATCAAAGGCACGGGCCCCGAGAGCGTGGAGTCTGATTCTCTTCTTGAGAGAGTTAATTCTGTTTTGTGCTCTTCCCTGCCTAAGGCTTCTGGTGGGGCTCCCTGCATCCGCTCTGGTCATGACGTGTCGAAAAGGGAAGAGAACGGTGTTGGACTGCGAAGACTTTTTTCGTTTTGTGAACTCGGAGCTGGTACGTGTCCTCAGCCAAACGGCAACTCCTTGTTGGTAGATGCCCTGGATAAAGGCCCCGAA